ATTTTCGGTTCGCGAACGGCGAACGCGAACTTCCGCAAATGTTCGCGAACCGGCGAACCGCCCGAAACGCCATTGACTTCAATGGGGAGGCGAATTTTAAAACACACAGGGACTCTTTCTGGCCACAATAGGGATGGAAAAGTTGTTTCAAGGGGACTAACACCTGGACTGTGGCATGCCGGAGGGGGATCCATGGCAAAACTCCCATGGAAAATTACACAGTTGATACAGAGTCTGGTTTTAATCCATAAAGGGCAGAAATCACCTAACATTCCTAAATCACAATCAATATGGATTGACACCTGACATATGACATATTGACACCTTGACATATGGATTGACACCTGTCCTCAGAGCCCCTGATGCACACGGACACAGAGCAGAATAGAGACTGGTCCCCCTACATAGGGTCACTTGGCAGATATGGATTGACACCTGTCCTAAGGATCCCTGATACACACTGACACAGAGCAGAATAGGGACTGTTCCCCCTACATCAGGTCACTTGGCAGATATGGATTGACACCTTGTTACAAACTGCTATTTGTAACGGGCCCTTTAAATGGCAAATTGCCCTGTTTCCCTGGGTTGTGGAGAAGCCTACTTGCCAGCCTCCTCCCGCATGACTATGGCCCCTGGGAGATTGTGAAAATGTATGCACTTTTATTTGGTGTGTATGGCCCTTTAAGACTGTCGGTGGGCATATTGGGGCTTATGGACTCTTTATGTGACTGGTGCTGGCCCTTTAAACACCTTTTTTGGGACATCAGGAAGATTGGGACACTGCCCCTTTAAGGCCGTGTCCCCAGACTTGTTGGGGACACGGCCCCTTTAAGACGGTGTCCCCTGTGTCCCCAGACCTGGTGCAAACCCTTTGTGCCTGCCTTGCTATTTCCCACTTGGTTCAGTAAATGGGAAATTATTTCAGCTGCAGAGACTAAGTCCCATTCGGCGATGGGACTTAGTCTCAGCCGTTTTTCAGCCATTTCAGCTGCAGAGACTAAGTCCCATTCGGCGATGGGACTTAGTCTTTTCAGCCGTTTTTTTCAGCCTTATTTCAGCTGCAGAGACTAAGTCCCATTCGGCGATGGGACTTAGTCTTTTTTCAGCCGTTTTTTTCAGCCTTATTTCAGCTGCAGAGACTAAGTCCCATTCGCGATGGGACTTAGTCGTTTTTTCAGCCTGAAATAGACCGACCTCACAGCCCAAATCTATGGAACTGTTTTGGGCAGGAAAATGTGCTTGCAGTCGGTCATAAAGGGACCTCCAGCTAACTTTTTAACCCCTGGATGGATTTGGCTGATTTTTGGTTATGTTTATGTTTTAAGTGTGCTGATTCCAAATATGTAATTATGAAGATGGGATGTGTAGTTTTAAAGTTACAGGGTATGGCTAAAAACTGTATTTTTACTGCCTGTGTTTAATTATGTTAATCTCTTCCCAAACGTCATTTCGTTCAAAGTGGAGAGAATGTTAAAAAAATATATTTTTGTTGAGTGTGAGAAATGCTTTTCAGCCGCTTCTAATCTTAAGCATCATTTGAGGAGCCATACAGGAGAGAAACCTTATTTGTGGTGTGTTTAGTATTGTTCTGATCAGTTTAATACCTTCCGCGTCTCCTATCAGTGGACGTGTATATGGCAGCCATTTTAGGAACCGTACACCTGGGACCCGAGCAAGGTCACCTCGTTCAACAGGCGACAACATTTGTCCCTGGAAAACTATCCTGGACATTCTGTACAATTTGTATGGATATGGCAGTGATTTCTGTAACAGGGAGATGGAAGAAGATGCTTGGTCGGTCCTCTTAATTCAAATTTGGGGCACTGCGCGGTCAAGCTAATGTGCCACCAGATAGGAGTGGTGTGTTTAGTATTGTTCTGATCAGTTTAATACCTTCCGCGTCTCCTATCAGTGGTCGTGTACACGGCATTGATTTTTGTAACAGGGAGATGGAAGAAGAGGCTTGGTCGGTCCTCTTACTGCAAATTTGGGGCACTGCGCGGTCAAGCTAATGTGCCACCAGATAGGAGTGGTGTGTTTAGTATTGTTCTGATCAGTTTAATACCTTCCCGTCTCCTATCAGTGGTCGTGTACACGGCATTGATTTTTGTAACAGGGAGATGGAAGAAGAGGCTTGGTCGGTCCTCTTACTGCAAATTTGGGGCACTGCGCGGTCAAGCTAATGTGACACCAGATAGGAGTGGAGTGTTTAGTACTATTTTTATCAGTTTAATACCTGTGTGAGAAATGCTTTTCAGCCGCTTCTAATCTTAAGCATCATTTGAGGAGCCATACAGGAGAGAAACCTTATTAGTGGTGTGTTTAGTATTGTTCTGATCAGTTTAATACCTTCCGCGTCTCCTATCAGTGGACGTGTATATGGCAGCCATTTTAGGAACCGTACACCTGGGACCCGAGCAAGGTCACCTCGTTCAACAGGCGACAACATTTGTCCCTGGAAAACTATCCTGGACATTCTGTACAATTTGCATGGATATGGCAGTGATTTCTGTAACAGGGAGATGGAAGAAGATGCTTGGTCGGTCCTCTTAATTCAAATTTGGGGCACTGCGCGGTCAAGCTAATGTGCCACCAGATAGGAGTGGTGTGTTTAGTATTGTTCTGATCAGTTTAATACCTTCCACGTCTCCTATCAGTAGTGGGTGGCCTACGGCATTGATTTTTGTAACAGGGAGATGGAAGAAGAGGCTTGGTGGAGTTACTCTTATACACCAAATTTAGGGCTTTTCTTGGCGGTCAAGCTAATGTGCCACCAGATGATGGTGTGTTTAGTATTGTTCCTGATCGAAGTTTTAGCGCTGCGTCTCTATGGTGAGGCGTGGCATTCAGCCTGCGGCATTGATTTTTGTAACAGGGAGATGGAAGAAGAAGAGGCTTGGTCGGTCACTCTTACTGCAAATTTGAGGCACTGGAACAAACTAATGTGCCGCAGATAGGAAGTGTGTTTAGTATTGTTCTGATCAGTTTAATACCTTCCCGTCTCCCTATCAGTATTAATTAGGTAATACTGCGGCAGTGATTTCTGTAACAGGGAGATGGAAGAAGATGCTTGGTCGGTCCTCTTAATTCAAATTTGGGGCACTGCGCGGTCAAGCTAATGTGCCACCAGGTAGGAGTGGTGTGTTTAGTATTGTTCTGATCAGTTTAATACCTTCCACGTCTCCTATCAGTGGTCGTGTACACGGCATTGATTTTTGTAACAGGGAGATGGAAGAAGAGGCTTGGTCGGTCCTCTTACTGCAAATTTGGGGCACTGCGGTGTCGAGCTGATGTGGCACCGGATAGGGGTGGTGTGTTTAGTATT